CCCAAAATTCTCATTTTGGGTTTGCGTGGCAAGGTTTTGCTAGCAGGGGGGTATAGGGGTGGCTTCTGTGAGAAGCTACTAGAAGCTTCCCCTGTATCCGATAGAGCCAATGCCAGCCAGCTCCAAGATGGACCCACTGCTGGCCAAGGCTGAGCCCATCAGCAAGGGTGGGAGTGCCTCTAGGGTAACATATTTAAGGAGGGGAAAAACGGTGCAACAGCAACTTCAGCTGGGGAGAGGAGTGAGAGCATGTGAGAGGAACAATTCTGCAGACACCAAGGTCAGTGATGAAGGAGGAGGAGAAGGTGCTCCATACACTGGAGCAGAGATTCCCCTGCAGAAAGTTTTACAGTAAGTTTCAGGTAGTTAAAAAGGTTGATTTATTTTTGTTTGAAACAGAACATTTAATTGAAATCAAATGCAAAATATTTCAAGATTTGAGAAAGTTTTAATTTCCCCTCTCTTTAAGTCTTTAAATGTAATTCTTCCTCTTTTATCAATGGAATGGGAAGAGAGGAGACTAAAACTTTTTCTGCTTTTATTTCAGTTACAGAACTCTTCCCTCCCCCACAAGCACCAATGAATTAAATGTTTTTAAGAAAACTATGGGGGGAGTCGGGGGTGGAGGAATAATCTCTTCCTAAGATTTCAGAGACACCGTGTTTGTCAGGAATGGATTAAATCATTTCACTGTCTCCAATGACCCAGATCATGAACACAAAGCAATATCCCCTACTTCCCAGTAGATGCACTAAAAGACATGATTTTGAAAATGTTATCTACAAAATAATTTTCAAACTAATAAAAAAAAAAAGTTGTTCAGTTTTCAACTATTTCTCCAGCTACAATGTTGATGGCAACCTTCTAATCTGTATTTTAAAGGTTGCCCACTAATTTGCATCTATTGCTTAAACAGAAATGTTGATTTCACAGGAGAATTGGGCAAATGGTCCTATGTTGATATAAATGTCCAGTTTCATATAACTGCATGGATTTGAAGCTCTGACCATTAAAAATAAATTTTGTCCTGTATTTTCCATAAAGTTGGCCTTTATTTTCTTTTTATGTATTTTAAAGAAATAATTATAGGAGCAGCCACTATATAAATATTTGTTTCAACACTCACAAAGCACCTGAACAAACTCATGTGATAAATTAGGAATCTGTTTTGTAAAGAAGAAATAAAAGCTAGACCAGACATGTCGAAGATATGGTGACAGACACCAGTAGG